CCTTTTTTAGGGATCGGGTGGACCATCCACCACCATGAATTCGGGACTACGCCTTGGGAGTAGGCGTACCGGAAAAGATGCTTTAAAACCGGTGCCAACTCCGGAGCACACGTCTTCAGCACAATTGGGGGGACTCCATTAGGCCCACTCGACTTGCTGACGTCCAGGCATAAGAGTGCTTTAGGAACGAAGCGCTGTGTAAATCGCACATCCGGCATGGAGCACTCACACGGCGGGATGGTCGGCAGTGTGTTCCCCCCGTCATCTAGAGTCGAGTTGGACGCAAAGAGAGAGCTTAAAAGATCGGCTTTCTCCTTTGCGGCATGGGCCAGTGAGTCGTCCTCGTGAGAGACCAGAATGCACGAAAGAATTCCCGAAGGAAGGCCAACTAGCTTCTCGCCAATTTTGCCAATGTGCTCAGACCTTGCCTTGGCAATAAAGCTTTTGAAGGACCTGAAAGCGGAATTATACTTCTTTTTAAGTGCGCTGATGTTTATATCCTGAGACGTTGATGCATCAGCCCAGGCCCGGTAGCACTCCTGCTTATAGCGTGATGCTATTTTACAGGAGCGACCAAACCATGTCTGGGATCTGCCTCCGATGGGTACCACAGAGGATGGAATAAAAAGTTCCATACCCTGAAGTACCACATCAGCAACAAAGTGCCAAACACGGCGGCAAGCTACAGATCGCAACTGTGATGGGAGCGTGAGTGGCACCGTACTCCGGATCAGACAATGGTCCGAAGAGCCCAGAGGGGTATCGACGGAGACCTGATATCTGTCCGGATGAGTGGTCAGTAGAAGGTCCAATAGGGAAGGTACATGATCCTCCACATCTGGGATCCGCGTAGGTGAAGTAACCAGTTGTGTTAGACCATATGCCAAGGCAAAGTCATAGACAGATCTACCCGCATGATCGGTTAAACGGGAACCAAGCCATTCAGCGTGGTGGGCGTTAAAATCACCGAGTATCACGATCTCTGCGGATGGTACCTGTTGTAGCACGGAGTCTGCAGCAATTTAGACGTGGTCGATGAGTTAGTCTGTGTCGGCATTACCGCTATGGGAACTATAGAGGCACCCGTAGAGAGGTCGTCACTGTCTACGCGCAGCAATAGGATGGACAGGTCCGTATCTTCAAGACTGCCGAGGCGTCGAAAACAGATGTTCTCTCTGACGTATACGCAAGCCCCAGCCCAAGGCACAAAGGAGTATTCGAATTTGTACCCCGGGTAGGAGAGATATGAAGCATCAGCCGGAGAGGACACCTGAGTCTCGGTTAAAAAGAGCACCTGAGTCTCGGTTAAATTGGGCCTCCGGCCACTTGCACTCACTAAGCGCAACGCAGATGTAAACCTCTACTTCACGCTGGTATTCTGTGAGGTCGTTGTACCATCCCGGTTCGAGCCGACCCATCTGTGCGACAACAAAAGCTGCCGAGTGGCTCTACCACTGTTAATTGTAAGTAATAACTTATAATCAATACATAATTATTTTAATACAATGCAAGCGTCTTTGTTCCTGTTATGGAATCTTTGCTCTTCATTGGGGCCCCAAAACAAATTTTGATACAGGGCCCATCTAAGGCACGCTACACCACTGATAAATACTTAAAACGCTAAGACGAAAGCGGCGCGAACACCTTCCCGGGCCCTTGAAATCTGAGCTAAAGATTTCAAGTAGTACTTGCGTTGTGTATGGGCAGGATACATAGCCGATTTATAGCTCTTCTAATCATTCCATTAGAAGTTTTGACGTCCGCGACGCGGGGAACAATATCCGAGCCAGGAAATATTTTGCTGATTCGCCCGAGACGCCAGCAGAGAGGTGGCGAATTTTCTTTCTTTATCAAAACTAAATCGTTTAATTGCAGGTGACGGGGATAGTGCACGTAATTGAGAGAGGGTGGGAAGTGTTCTTCAACGTAGTTAAGACACATCATTTTATTTTATCGAACGGATGTACGCGAGGTAATTTTTACCAACTTTAATATAATGGATATCCGCAAAGTAACGCCTAATTCTTTTAATCACATTATATTTTTTTAAATATTGTGTAATTTATTTTTCTACTTTTTATTGTTCAACAAATTTATTTCTGTAAACAACACAAAGTATTTCTCTTAATATCAGTCTACTCATGTTTTAATTATAGTGTTGCTTTGTGTCACCATAGTTTAATGGTACGAATCTCAATTGTTCATTTAATTTACCAATATTTTAGCCTCTGTAATTAAATATTTCACCAACTAGTACATTTTATTTTTGTAAATAAAGAGTCTTATCTTTCATCTGCAGGCACTTCATTAATATTATCCACATCTCTTACATTATCCAGTGTTATTTTAGAGCTGCATGATTTAATTCTTAATTTGATTCATTATTTGGTTGAGAAACAAATTCATCTTTTGTTTGATCTAAGAATGTGATGTAAATCATGGGATTGATCATGTGAATTTTCTTCTTGTCCTTCTTATCGGCGTTGTTCGACATATGTGTGTCAGTTGATTCGTCTTTATTTCATAGTTTTTAATTTGTCTCTTTAGAAAGCTATTTTCGAACAATTTTCTATTTCTGTTTCGAATATTTAGAGTTTATTTTCCAAGTTAGTTATTATTATTTTTAGATCATCTAAAACCTCGGTATAAGTTCCGCTGTGAAACAGTTTCTGTTGAAATTTGGTGTTTCGCAAATGGTGAAGTCTTCATTATCCGAAGCCTCAGAGTAGAGGGATTCAAAACAATTTGCAGTTGTAATGTTTACTTTATTTTTATTCCGTCGTCTTACAAAGTCTTGGGGTGTCGCTGTATTACTCGCCTATATTTTAGCTGATGTTGATTGGTTATTCGTAATCCGACGTTCATTTTTGCAATTTTCACAGTTCCAGTTATGTCCATCCTTCTTTTTCATTAAATAAAACAATATCTATTAAGATAAATCAACTTTTTACAGTGAGCACATTTCAAAAATGTCTATTAAAAATCATCTTGTCGCATTTTGTTAATTTTCTCTCCATTGCAATGCAATAATATGTCGGCTTTGATACTCCAGCGGGCGTAGTGTACAACGACAGAATACGGCCGTTGTGTAAAACTTTTAAACTGGTTTTAATTATATCTTCATACAAGCAAGACTTTTTATAAACGGTTTTCACTAATATTACTGAGTTCATTATCTACACTTTGTTATATAACATAAAAATGATCTTTTGTTTTTATTGTAGTTCACAATTTAAAAATCTCGGAGCAAAAAAATACATATCTACCATGTAAAGCACTGGCGTCAATTTTTAAGAAAAGTAGAACATTCTACAGCACTGAAAGTAATATGATATAAATGATATCTTTTTTACTGGAAATGAAGCATTCCATCTTAGTCCTCACGGGTGACAACGCTTCTGATTTAATTCATAATGGAGGATAGATAAAGATGTCCATGGGCTACAGTAACCACTTACCATCAGGTGGACTGTGTGCTCGTTTGTCACCCTAATCCTATTAAAAAATGTACATTAATACTCTCTTAGTACATAGAAAATAAAACCAATCAGATTAGTAAATTTAAGTGGCAAAGGGCAGACTATATAGCCCGAAAAACCAACAATAGATAGGGAAAAATAATTTTCAAGTGGAAGTCTCGTATACTCAGTGGCGTATTTAGGTTCAAATCTACCGTGAACTATTCAAGTTGGCCGCCTTATTGATCTTATATATAGTATTTATTAAATAATTACAAACATAGCAACACTGTTAGTTAAATAATGACAACTTTTACTCGTAGTTTGCGTAACTTTAAAATTTATTTTTAAGTCTTCATCTTTTAAAATATGATTTTTTATTGTTATTATTTAAAGTTAAATCGTACTATTTTCTTTTAATCCTCGCTTTCATAAGTTAGCTAATGTAGTATCTTAGTCTATCTGTAATAATTGAATTCACAATTGGAGGTAATTCATTTATGTCTCTATTATTCTTTCTCTTGGTGTTTTCTCAAACACAACTTCATATTAAATAATCTGAAGTTGGCAATAACCTAATAATTGTCATACGAATATTAAGGGCGAGTTTTTAAAACCGGGATTCTTATCAAAACCGAATTTAAAAATTACCAATATAAAAAAGTAACTAATGAAATGATTTACTTACTCATAAATACTTTTACAGTCTTACTAACAAAAATATATAAAACATCTGTTTAACAACTGTGTACTTATACACTGTTTAAGCTATGGGTAAGAGTTACACACGCTCTTTACTAATAACAGATGTATAAGCGTTGTATAGTTATACACTCACTAAAACAAAAAGCATTGGCAACGTTCATCAAAAACGTTTTGAAACTAAATTGTCAAGTTATAGAAACATTTTGAATACACATACACAGCTTATAAATTCTCTTTTTGTAATTATTAACACATACATTTAGCCCAAAATATTGTTAAATTTAATTTAGTAATAATCTAATGTTTATATGCAATAAAAACTAATTATTATTTGGACAAAGCCATATTTATAATCCTAATAAGTTTATGAACCTTTCAGATTCAGACAGTTTGCAATTCAATCATCAATTTGTTGTTTGCATTTTGTAATTTATAATTCGTTAGAAGCTACTATATTTTTAATAACATCGCTGTAATTGTGTAATAATGGCTAATATTAATGGAAACTTTATCAAAAGAAAACGGTCTGCCAATTGGGATGCATTAGAAAAGGTAAGATTGAATTTTACTAGAAAAACATTTGCAACTACTGTTTCCCAATATGGTCACAATTTGTAATCGAACTTTGTATATTATCTTTCAGAGTTTATTAAAAAGTTGTATAAAGGAATTTGTATCCATCATAGAAAATAAAAACACCGATACAAATACAAACAAAAGTAAGACCATAGCTTGGCAAAAAGTGATGAAAAGGTTTGTAAAATACTATGTTTTATGAATGTTGTTTCACGTTTCTTGTGTGCAAATTATGATTGAGACATTTTCAGTTTTAGTGAAATGAATAGCCGGGTAAGAGAATTAGCTGAAGTAAAGCAACAGTGGCGCAATATGAAACTTGATGCAAAGAAAAACATGTCGCAAGTAAAGACATCTATCAAATGTACTGGTGGAGAGCCAAAACCTCTTAGCCCTGACCCGGAAACCATTGACATTTTGAGCATGATTCCACAGGAATTTGAGACTGATTCCAATGTCTTCGACAGTGACAGCATAACAGTGAGCTCATACTATATTTTTATAATTGTCTTAGCACTAACACAATGTTAAGTATCAGAATTAGTATGTTATGTCTTATGATTATGATATCAATGTGTGATATTCTATTTCAGAATCCAGTGGTTCAAAGTCAGGAGCAGTCCTTAGTGAATACACCAACACAAGATTATTTTATCACTCCAGAAGATAATAATGAGAATGTGCAAGAGGTTTGTTTATTTAAATTTGTTGAGTAAATTTACCTAGATTAATATCTTTTGAATTCTGAATGACTTGTTAATATTTCAGAATATTACACCACTACCTTTAAAGATGCCAACTGAAATAGTTAGAAGAAAACGGAAACTAACATTCAATGATGTGAATGATAATAAATATACAGCCAAACGTGAGGTAAAATAAAATTTTATTTTATTTTAATAAAATTTTTAATTTAAGTTTTTTTATAGTATAGGGTGACAAACGAGCACACGGTCCACCTGATGGCAAGTGGTTGCTGTGGCCCATAGGCATCTACATCTATCCTCTATTACAAATCAAAATGCAGATGCATTGTCACCCGGGAGGACTAAGATGGAATGCCTCATTTCCAGTAAAAAGGGTCTGCGGTTCTCTGCACTCACCATACGAAACACAGCAGCATTAAGCCACTATTTTATGATGGTATTCTGCAAGAGCGTGGTCCTTCCCCAGTCGAGTCGACCCATTCGTGCTACAACTATACTTCTAATATAGCTACAGCATGGCTCTACAAAGTATAACAAAATAATGGGATTAGTAATTTGTGATTGATAATAATATATTTATTTCAGGAAAGAGACTTAACCAGAGAGCGCAATCATATTCTTGTCAGTTGCATAAAGGAGGAGCATGGTTTAAAAATGTAAAATATGTTAGAAGCTCATAATTTTATTAAAGAGGAACACAATTTAAAAATACAACAAATGTTATTGGAAAAAGAAGAAACACAGCTTCGAGTTGAAAAACTAAAATTAGAAATATTACTTTTAAAAACAAATTTACCACAATAAAGCATTTTCGTTACTAAAATTGTGTTTCAATGAATAATCTCCTTGTTTCTTGATCAGATCGGCTATCAAGACCTTCCCTTAGCACTTGTTGGTCACCATTATCTTCAGATATGACTGGTTCAAGGAAGTCAATGCCTTCATTCATTTCAATGGCAATATTGTGTAATATCGCAAGTGCAACAATGTATAATTTTACATTTTCCAGTGACACACTAAACCCAAGTAATAGACATCGGAACCTGTGTTTCCAAACTCCGAAACACCTTTCAATTGTATTTCTGGTCAATATATGTGATTTATTATAAGATTTCTCTTTAGCAGTACGGGGATTCTGGACTGGTGTAAACAAGTAATTTGTCAAACCGTAGCCAGAATCTCCTAGTAAACGACCATGAAATTCCCTATTTTCAAATCGTTGTCGGATTTGACTTTCCCTGAATATTCTTGCATCATGTGTGCTGCCCCTCCAGTGTGCCACTATATCCCTTATCTTTAATTGAGCATCACAAACTACCTGGACATTTAAGGGTGAAAATCCCTTTCTGTTTATATAATATTGAGAACTATCGCCTCCAACTTTTTTAATCTTTATGTGCGTGCAATCGATAGCACCAATCACTTGCTTAAAGCCACAAATGTTTCTAAATCCTGAAACCACTTGTTCTTGCTCTTCTAAAGTACTAGGCATGTGTATAAATTGTGCCGCTTTACTTGCCAAAGCAAGAGCTACTCTTCGGCATATATTCGTGATGGACTGTTGGCTAAGCCCATGAATGTCTGCTGCATCATCTTGCACTTCTTGCCTAGCCCACGTTCTGAGAGCAGTACAAACTTGAAGTTCTACAGACAGCCCGCCACCACTAGCTTGTAGTTCGATATCACGCTGAACTAACTTAACTATTTTTCTCATATATACTTTACTGAATCTATATTTCATTCGAAAATCTTTTTCTTCTAGAGTAAAGGGATCGAAACGTTTTTTATAAAATTTTCTTTTTCTTGGTGGTTCCTCACGGTCTATTTCATCAAAAATATCGAAATATTGTAAATAATCCATTATTTTCAAAAACGCCACACGTCAAATTGAGGTTATACACGTCTTAAACATAGGTTGAGTAGGTATAACGGTTGCGTAAGTTTCCATACAATTTAAACACTCGTTATAACAGATGTATACAACTGAACTGTTAAATGTCGTTTATTGGTAATGTTTGCGTTATAACTCTAGTATACGTCATGTGTAAATCTTTATTAGTAAGGCTGTTAATATATAAGTTTATTTTTAAATCGGATTCATGTTCTTATATTTGATACCTAAATAAAAAAAGTGAAAAGTGTTATTCTAAGTTCACGCTTTGCCGTTCATAACGGTGTACGGCAAGACGAGTGCAATAGTTTTCCAACTTTCCAGCAGATTACAATGTGTCTACATCTTGTAAGTAAGTTTGCATGTGCGCTTTACCATATACGATATAATATGCCATTGGGGAAGTAAAGCACAGGCAAATCATAGGTACAAAATATATGATGACTATCTCGTTGGTCCATATGGTTTTCATTGCTAGACATAGCCTTGCCTCGTGGATTGCTTCATAGGGAGGATATATTTCGTAGTTGTTACACTTGGTAGTCGGGTTGGTATCAGCAATTTGGCTCATCGTCAAATAGGATTTTTAGCTGAGATAAGCTGAGATAAAAATATTGACATCGTAAATATTGTAATTTTTCTTATTGCACGAGATAAATGAATATATTAGCTATAATATTAATGCAATTTAAATTTAAATTAACGTATACTATACTCATTACAACGCTCAAAATATGACTTGTCACCTGTGGGTGACACTGGGTATTATTTCTAATCACTACTATTGATTTATTTGGATTGCATAGTAGTGGTGGGTGGTATTTTGGAGCATCTTTACGTTTTACGGGTTAACATGAGATGAGTTTGCTGAGGAGTTACAAGTTAGGACCCAGGACCCAGGGAATATTATTTTATTTCCTCCTGATAACGGTAAGGTAACTGACAAAGACAGTGGGGATGAAAACGAGGCAAATATCTTTATTTTCGTGATTGTATGCTTCAGTCTCAAGTAGAAATACAAAGTAGACCTTCAGACTCTAAAAAAATATTGCGTAGATGACGACGAAGTAGAAGAAAACAAGTCAAAGTTTCTACACCAAAGAACAAATATAAAGAAGGAAATACTATAAAAAGATACTACCTTTGGTGTACCATCTTTCTACTACTTGTAGTAAAGAATACTGTACAGAAGTTTTTAAACATTTATACGAGGTTTTTACACTTATACTTACACACTTAGGTCGGTGCCATACGGCGGATGGTCTAATAATTCTATGTTTTCTTGCTCTAAAAACTCTTTTGTTCTGTGTGCGGTGTGAGAACTCGCATTATCGTGATGGAGAATGATGCGGCGGTTGCAGTTCTCTTTACGGAGTTCAGAAACGACCTGTGGTAAACAAATGCTAGCATACCATTCTACATTAACCTTTCTTTGTCCCTCAAGAGGAATAGTCGTAACATGGCCGGTTTTGGAGACAAACGTGGCCACCATTTTTTTTGCAACACTCCGTGAACGAACAATTTTTGTTGGCTTTAACTCATTTTCGAACACCCAAACTCGTGACTGATTTTTTGTTTCGGGTTCGTACGCGTATATCCAGGATTCGTCACCTGATACGATGTTGTATACAGCATTTGAGGATCCTGCGTGGAATCTTTCGAGAGTTCTGACGCACCAAGTAACGCGAGCCGCTTTCTGTTCTTCACAACGCGAATACGGTATCCATCGGGAAAACAACTTTTTTACACTTAATTTTTCATGCAAGATTATTTGTATTTGACTCATGCCAATTTCTAAAGTTGCCTGAATTTCGCAGTATATCACATGTCGATCTTCCTCAATCAGCTTACGCACAGCATCAACGTTTTCTTGGGTGACTGCAGTTTGTGGACGACCTTGACGGGGATCATATCTGAGCTTGACACGTCCATGTTGAAATTCAGCAAACCGGCGATAAATTGTGGCTTTTGAATGGGGCTTCATCACCAAATGCAGAAATCATCCGGTCAACACACTGTTTTTGTGTTAAACCACTTCGAATGTCATAATAAATCATCGCTCTTGAATTTTCTCGAGTCAATTCCATTTTCTCAACGACTAAACAAGTTTGACAAAACCTTGTGACAAGACCGAGAATCTTTTTTTAAATAAATAAATGGTGTTCGATTTTTAAAACCAAGGAGTTTTCAATTAAAAAGCTTTTGATATGACAGGAACAGTGTAAATATTCCATTCCCGATACTTTTAGTGCAGCCTATGTAAAATAAGATGACAGCCCTCAAGATTCAGTCAGATATGGGCAGTCAGATTATCAAAAGAATTGGGACAGTAAAAACTATTTTACTGGCTTACCATTATTTTGTTAGGAATTTATTGCAGCTAAATAAATAGCATGACTACAGTATCACCACCATTGCACCTAACTGCCACGGAGTGAGACTTGTCACAAAATTAGATCATATTAGAAATATAAGTAAAAAGCGATCGAAAATTAGAGTGGTTTGCCCAGCTATTATCAGGATGTAATAATGATATGGGTAGAGTGAATCATTATGACTTCGCGGGAAAAAAGTGGTGGTATCCTGTTTGCTTTTGATATAGACGCTGCTTGCCAAAATAACGGGACAGTGATTTTCGCAGAAACGTTGCTACTTTCTACTTGCAAACATGATAAACCTCCAACCCGTGATTATGCCTGTGGAGTTCCAGTCCAGATTAGAGTGCCTAGCCTGCAGGTATCGCAAATGACCATGTAGAAGTTGTCCGTTCGCAGCGGCGATGTGGATAGTGTCATCAACGAACGCGATAAATGTGCGCCAAGTACCATATCATTTTGCATCTAAAGTTCTAGTACGAGTATATGTTTCATGGTAATAAACGCTTCTTTCTTATGTGTCAATAAATATTTATTTTATAAAAACGGATGTTTTATCCCTAGAGAAAGAAAACTTTAACTTTATGAGCTGTTTAAACAATGCCCAGGGTCACCTGTAGGTGACACCCCTATAAGAAATAAGTGGGGGTAGTTGCCTTATTTTTATATTTTTTTTGGTCTATACTAAATATACCTGGACCTTATAATAAAAGAAAGTATTGTTACGAGCTTGGGGTTCGAGACAATTAAAAACTGCCGATTGAATTACCAAGATTGACACTTTAATTACACAACACTAATTACAATCTAAAACCACACTAATAATAAAACACAATCACTTTATTTCGCAGTTATTTCACTTCGAAGTATTGTCTTGTATCGCCAATTTAATACTGCCTCGGTCCTGGTCTATACCGGCGTTATATAGGGCCTCAGATAGTTTCCAGAACCTTCAACTGTAGCGACATCTAGAATGTTCGAGTACTATCGGTCCCGAAATTTCTGGAAAGATCTTGACTCTCCTAGTTCTGCTACTCGAAACTGGAGAACGCTAGTGTAACTAGTGTTGCCATGTACAAGACATTAATAGTGGCGCGCAACACTGCCCCCTCCTAAGACATGTTCGTCCCGGGCATTATTGGCCACATAATAACGCGCCAGACGATCCACATGGATGATCTTAGGAGTACCTCTGGCATATTACTGTATCCGGTAGGTTCCGTCATTGATCCTTGTCACAATCCGGTACAGTCCGTCCCATTTAGCTTGAAGCTTAGGAGATTTCCCTTTGCTGCAAGCTGGATTGTATAACCACACTATTGAACCTTCGTCAAACCCTTTATTGTTCATTTTGCGGTCATAACGTGTTTTCATCTTCTCAGACCTTTGCTGGC